TACGTATCACCCTAAAAGGTTTTTGTTTTGTTTCTATGACTGAGAATTACGATGTTTATTATTGCAAGGCTAGGCTGCTGTCAAAAATTGAATTCCAGGATTTGAATTTGAATAATAATGCCTTGGCTTAATATATGTTAGGATTAAGATTCTTTGAAAGTAAGAGCAAATCTGGGAAACTGCAATTGTTATCAATTGGTAAAATTAGAAGAGAGGGAGAATTATTTTTCTCTAACTATAGATAATTTTCCATAATTTTATGTACCTCTATCATGCTTCTCATTTTATCCATATGGTCGCCAAAAGCTGATAGCAACTTGATGGTACTTAATCATTCATATTCTCCACATCACCTCCATAAACACTATCCTGCTGGATCATGCTAAGTAATCCCATTATCCTGGATCACACTGAACAGATTCAAGAAGCTCACAGGCAGGACTTACGGTGGACAACTTTCTTATTCTTTGCTCCTCAGTAACTGACATTTCAGATATGTTGACTCTGGGAATTGATAGAGGTAAACTTCGTAAAAATTAAGACACAATGCCAGGGTACGTATAAAGTGGTAGCACTTTTTTCCTTGCAGAAGGGCTGATAGAAGTAAAGACAATACTGAAATCACTACTGTTATTTCCTATTGTTGTTAGTCTCCACTTGTGTTTGTGGCAAGTATATTTATTACTGAAACTTTAACAAGAACCACTGAAACCAAATGGCCGCATCTTCAAACAGCAAGACACACTATGCAATTTCAACACTGCCTAGAATTATTTCCTTGTTAACATGCAGAAAACTAGCACAAATAAAAGCCTTTTCCTTGAGCTCTGAATATAAATTTCACCGGAGAAGATTTTATTACTCATCTTTGCCTCTAGAAGAATGCACACATAGTTGTTACACAAGCCCACAACAATAACAAACAGAATTCTTGCTGCCCGTTTGCTGATAGCTCAAAACTGGAAGAGTAAAGCTTTACCTACAATAGAGGACTGGAGAGTGAAGGTTTCGCATCTTGCTGAAATAGCAAAGATTTCGGCTTATTTGAAGGATCACTCAAATGAACAATTTTTATCAATATGGAGAAGATGGATTGTTTATATTCAAAATAAGCATAGAATGGTGGAATATAGGTTAGGTTTTTAGATAAAAAAATTTTTCTTTTTATACATATATATATATTTCACCTACTTATGTAGAATTACATTTTGTGGAGTTAGGGATATTAATATAAGGTTACTTTTAGTTGAA